TTTTTCCTTGCCTGTGTCGCCTAGTGCTGCTCATGGTGGGAATTGTTGGGTTTTTGTAATTAACTTCAGAGTAGGTCTGACCTGCTCTGTTTGGAAAGCGCTGTGAGACAACTGTTGTTGTGATGTGGCGCTATATAAATTAAATTGAATTGAATTAATTTTAATTTTGTAATGTCATTGTCCGAACGTGTGTTTGGACTGATTTTGTATTTTGTGTTGTTTGGTTTTCCTACCTCAGGACGACAGATCTAAACTAGCAACTATGCTATAATCTGGCTCGTTTACAATCTGTATGAGATTGTTCATTAATGTGCACTGTCCTGATTAAATAAATAAATAAATAAAAAATAAATAACAAATGAAAATTCAACAAAACCATTTTTCTTTAATGAATATACGTGTAATTTGATCTTATAAGTGTAGAAGTAACTAATTTGAACTGTTCTTTACCAGTTCAGTTCTGTTTCTGCTTTTGATTTGAAACTGTCAGTGCTTTTATCAAAAAAGTATTTATGGTTTTAGGTGTAAATGTAGTGAATGCTGGTCGAACCCACTTAAATTTCCACCCCCTGGTTTCCACTGCAGCAGGTCTGAATGTTTGTCAGCTGCTCAGTAACTACAGCAGGCTCACTGATCCAACTTTGGCCCTCAGGCAGACAGACAGAGCTCATATTTTATCTTCAGTTGCTTCAGTCTTTTCTTTACTCCTTTTCCAGAGAATTGTAACTTGAGAAGAGCAAGGTCAGTATTTCTCAATAAACTGCTCTGCTGTCAGAGTTCTTCTGTTAAAGTCGTAGATAAAACCAGAACATCATGTTCCTCACCTCAGCCTGAAACTGTCCTGCTTCCTGTGTCATGACTCTTTGGAGGTTGCAGAAGTGTAAACTGCTGTAATCCCTACAAAGGATAGAAAGCACTGAATACATTTGACTTTCCAACTGCAGTTCAGAGTTATCTGACGTGTCTGTTGAATGTTCAGTCGAATGTTTCCCTTCATAGCAGTCTGGTGAGAATGTGAATCACGTGTACCTGCATATGTTTCCCAATGAAAGTAGATTTAAAACAGGACACTTTCTGTCCACATAGAAATCTCTGCTTCTCAAGATAACAGGTTTATTAGTTTGTTACATTTAATTTCATTTGAGTCTGGTAAGCCTGGAGCGTTCTTAATAAAACACAGAAAAGTTTCTCTTCGGGCCGCAGCCGTAGCCTAATGGCTAGAGCGGGCGGCCCATATACAGAGCCTTTGCTCGCAAACGGGTGGCCTGGGTTTGAATCCAGCCCATGGACCTTTCCCGCAGGTCTCCCCCTCTCTATCTCTGCCCCCTTTCCTGTCAAGCTACTGTCATTAAAGGCCACTAGAGCCAAAAAAATATTTAAAAAAAAAAAAAAAGAAAAGTTTCTCTTCAGTCGAATGGAAAGTTTTCAGGTTAGTATAATAAAATATCATGTTTGTCGTGACTTCTTTTCAATGTCAGAGTTTTTTTCACTTGTTAGCTTGCGTGACTTCTGTTCATAATCTGCTTCCTGAGTTTTACATACTTTGCTTGCAGTCGTTGGCAGCTTACCAAAGGTAGTTTAGCTAGAAAACCACTGGATTGCATGGAATCTTCTCTTAGGTTTGGTCTCAGTGCCAGAGCATGTGCAGGGTGACATTGTAGAGGCTCAGCTCAGGAAGAAAACCCAGAATCAGACACAGGAATGAAGTCCATCTGCCTGAGGCGGTTGGTGCCTGTGCTGAGCGTTGTGCATCACCTACTCTCTGTGGCCAGAGAACAGGGTGTCATTCAAAATGAGAAATAACCTTAAAACGTATCAAACCATATCCACTGGACACTGTCAGGTGTAGATCATTAAGGGGGGGCGTGCCACAGGCGCGTGCACGTGCTCCAGCAGCCTGAAATGACCTCCAGTGTCCCACAGAAACAGCCTTCCTGTGCTCTGAGTCACTGACTGACAAGATGCCACAGAATGGCTCTGCCTGCTCGCTCTTGTAGGCTGAGAGGAAGCTGGAGCACTCCAAGCCCCAGAATGCTTTGCTGGTACACAGCTCTCCGTACTCCTCCAGTCAGTGTGACTGTAAAGGCGCACTAAGCGTGCACAATGTCTCCCACACATCTGAGTGCACAGCTGGAAAGAGTCCTGAGACGCCCGCATCCCAAATGACGCTCAGACTCCTACAAAGGAGACACAGAGAACCCCCACCCCACCCCCACCCCCTCCACCGAAACCACTCTCTCACTCAGCCGATTTGAGCAGCCCACATCAGAAGTGCAGAGTGGGGGTGAGGGAGGGACATAAGGGGGAGGACGACCCCTAAATCACATGTCCAGTTTCAAATGTTATTTTTTTCAGAAGGACCCTGGTCTCTCCCAGTTCAGACCGAACAAAATGGCCCGGCTTGGAGGACTACAATACCCAGAGTCCTTTGCCTCATAGAGAATGAATGGCATTTCTGCCTCCATATTGTGCTGGCTGGTCACTTTCTCAGACCTGCTACGTCGCCACCGTTTGTTCGACTCAAGCGTGTCATACATCGTTTTGTAGGTCTTTGTCTTGGCTTTCAGCAACTCTGACCCCCCTCTTGCTGACCAAATTCCTTTAGAAATCCTTTGGTTTTAATTGTCCTTTAGCAATTTAGTCCTGATCTGTTAATGTATTTCTGTTTTTCTTCTAAATTGTCAGGACCTTTATCAAATAAATACTTATGGTTTTAGGTGTAAATGTAGTGAATGCTGGTCGAACCCACTTAAATTTCCACCCCCTGGTTTCCACTGCAGCAGGTCTGAATGTTTGTCAGCTGCTCAGTAACTACAGCAGGCTCACTGATCCAACTTTGGCCCTCAGGCAGACAGACAGAGCTCATATTTTATCTTCAGTTGCTTCAGTCTTTTCTTTACTCCTTTTCCAGAGAATTGTAACTTGAGAAGAGCAAGGTCAGTATTTCTCAATAAACTGCTCTGCTGTCAGAGTTCTTCTGTTAAAGTCGTAGATAAAACCAGAACATCAAGTTCCTCAGCTCAGCCTAAAACTGTCCTGCTTCCTGTGTCATGACTCTTTGGAGGTTGCAGAAGTGTAGACTGCTGTAATCCCTACAAAGGATAGAAAGCAGCGAATTAATTTAACTTTCCATCTGCAGTTCAGAGAAATCGAAAAAAAAAATCAATTCAAATTTATTTCTATAGCGCCACATCACAACAACAGTTGTCTCACAGCTTTCCAAACAGAGCAGGTCAGACCTACTCTGAAGTTAATTACAGAAACCCAACAATTCCCACCATGAGCAGCACTAGGAGACCCAGGCAAGGAAAAACTTCCTTTAACAGGCAGAAACCTGGAGCAGAACCATGGCTCAGGGTGGGGGGGCATCTGCCTCGGCCGGTTGGGGGTGAGGGAAAGAGAGGGCAAGAGAGAGAGAGAGAGAGAGAGAGGGCGAGAGAAGGACAGAGGGAGCAGAGAGAGGCAGCCAACACAGCAACACACAGACTGGATGAAAAAGGGTAAAGATATTGATAATAATGATAATGATAGCAGTAATGACGGCAATAGGACTATGAACAGTGGCTGTAATTGTAGCAGAGTAGGAACATGGGGGGGGGGGGGGGGGGACACGGACACAGGGAGAACATGCAAACTCCACCCACAAAGGTCCTGGTTCACCCAGTATTCAAATCCAGAACCTTCTTGCTGGGAGGCGACAGTGCTAACCACCACACCACCGTGCCGCCCTCAATGTCACCATCTGCAGGATTGTTCTGAGACGTATATTGAGTTTTATAGAAGTCTCTAAAGGTGTTGATTGACCTGGGTCATGAATAATAATTCCTTCTGAGTCTTTAACTGAAGTATTCTTGTTTTCTCTTTGTTTCTCTTTAATTGATTAGCTAAAAATGCCAGATTGAAACAAAATAGAGTATTACAAATGTATCCAGGCTATGCAGTCTAAAGTGATACCTCAATACCAGAGGTGGAAAAAGAACTGAAAAATTGTAACTAAGTAAAAGTATCTTTACTTTGCTTGAATTCTACTCAAGTAAAAGTATAAGTACCCATCTAAAAATCCACTCAAGTAAAAGTAAAAATTACTCAATCTAAAATGTACTTAAAAGTAAAAGATACTTTCATTTATTTGATGTAAGCAAAGAAAAGACAAATCATTATTTAAATCAAATTGTTTTTAATTAACTATTAGTCCACATAACCTTTCAGGCGTTATAAAGTATAGAGCTTTTTTCGACCACCCCAAAAAACAACATGACTTGTAAATTCTATGATTTTACGGTCCAACTCATATACCACAATGAAGAAAATAAAATGAAACCAAACTCAAAGTATCCAAAACACTGACAATGTTTAGCAATCCCTTAACTCATTGACTGGCAGCCATTTTCAGAACAGAGTCCCATACTGCCAGAGTTTTTTGAGCATTTTGACTGATTTTTCAAGAGCCACAGAATAGTTTGTGCTATGACTATGTAAACACCAAACACACCAAAAGAAAGAGTAGACTCTCTTCTTTCATCAGGAAAACAAATGTGTTTCTACCTTATTCCGTTCTTCCTGGACTTGTGTCTCACCGGCGCCATTTCTCGCATAGCGAACCATTGCATTTTTCTTATTTGCCTACAATCTATGCTCATCTCCCATCAAAAGTGGCACTGCCCCCTAGAGGGTCAATTTGTTACTACATACTCTGTCTAGAAGCCGATATTTACAGACAAGCTTTAGCAGAACGTCCCCCAGCCACTCTCGCTGAAAAACATAAAAGACGTCTATAGACGTCTTTGGCAGCCAATGAGTTAATAACAACTCTCCCTTTCTATAGCAAATATAGGAATACAATAATTTAATTAATTGGAATTCAATTGAATTAACTAACACGACTGCTGATTAAAGAAATCAAAGAAGAAAATAAAGTAATCTGCCCACTGAATACTAACGTTAATAATAACATTAAACTGAAAAGCTCTTGTTGACTTTCAGCAGGAGCTGATTTTGTTGCATAATGATTCCTTAGTAACATGGAAAATGTTATTGACAAATTCATAATGTTTACAACCTGTTGCGAGGTAGTGTAATGAGCAAACAATTTGGAGACCATCCCATAAAATAATTGTAAAATTAAGTGTCAATTTCTAAATTTTATGGCCCAACTCAAATACCATAATAATTAAAAAAATTAAACCAAACTCAAAGTATTCAAGATAGTGAAAATGTTTAGCAAATTACTAACAACTAATACCTAAACGTAATGATAGATAGCTCTGTCAGGGTTTGGAAAGCTGGCTTCTCTTTGGGCGATTTGAGCGACCAAGTATAACCTACAAAAAATGCCTCCTACAAGATTTAAATCACGGCCATCAAAAATTCCCCATCTAATCTGAACAAGCATATAAAGGTAAGTTAAAAAATACAATGACATATTAGCTAGTAAATAATTGCTAGTTCAGTTCTCCCTGTTCACTCAGGACATAGCAGCTAACGTTAGCTAAAGCTAACCTAGCTGGCTAGCTGTATGAAATAATATAAACAATATCTATCACACTTTTAATAAACACAGTACTTGTACCTTTACTTATACTTGTACTTGCGATACTTGAGCAGCAATTTTTTAAATATTTCTACTTGCAATACTTAAGTAAAAAAAAAACTGGGTACTTCCGTACTTCCACTTAAGTATGGTGTTGAAGGAAACAGGTAATTGCTGCTGAAGTCGGTTCCCCTCAGCTCCCGGCCACAGCTCCTTACAGGACCTTTTGTTTGAAGTGCTCAAACTTGGCCACGGTGGGTCTTGGCCTGCGGGCGTCGGGTCTCTTACCTCCCAGGTGGTGGGGCGTCAAAGCTGGACAATTTAGAGTCTATTGACAATAGAATGTGCACAGACTTCTTTCCAGTGGGAGACATCGCACCGGGGGAGTCTTCGTTCCGGCTCCGCATGGAGGAGGTGGCTTTACCTGCCGACGTTGGCTGTTTTACCAATGCGATCCGATAGAAACACTCGTCAGTGTAATCCTTTAGAGTGTCGAGACTTTCTCCATTGTTCTCCAGTGTTTGCATTTTGTTTCTTTGCAAAATGCTAAGCGAAATTGTATTTTGACAGACAGTTGTCCGTTTAGAGGCGTGCCATGGAGTTTGATTCTACCAACAGTCTCACAGAGTCTTGTGACACTACAGTATTCTGTCTGACACCCAATTTTCAGTCACTTTTTTCTGTTTATTTGCAAAAGCCAAAAAGAAAAAAAGGAATAGTTTTGTTTTTGTGATGTGAAAGTCACTGTTTATCTCATTCTCATCTGAGCGGTGGAGCAGAATAAAACAAGATATTTTTTAGAACTTGTGACTTTTAATGTTCTCTGATGCAGCTGCAGCACAACTGAGAGTGTGTTTGTTGTTCAGTGGGCAAAAATACTCCTGTCCTTTGTTCACTTTCACTCATGCAGGAAACATATGATGAGTGGTAAGTGATGCAATATGAGTCATGCATGAACCTGATTCTCAATGTTTTTAGAGCAAAGATTATCACAAGAAAACAGAGGGACACCCTTCAGGAGCTCCAACAGAAGGCCCCCCAACCCATTCAGCAACTTCAGGACGTCCACCCCCTTCAGCAGGTAAAGCTTCAGTGCCCAGCACACCGGGTTAACCATTCAACACAATGAATGAAGACTGTTTACCAGCTCTCTTCTGATACAGGAACTGTAGTCATGAACTGTAGTCATGAAGCCCCACTGACCAATCACAGAAGATTGTTTCTGTTTGGTTTTAGCATCACTGTGTATGAAGATATTCTATTAAATTAAACACATACACACATCCATTTAAAGGTAAAAATGTACGTATTTGTGTTAATTAAATCAAGAGTGAGGGCATATTTGTGACCCTTAATTTGAATAAAGAGTGAAAAAAGCCCATATCAGAAAGAGGAATCAACATGTTTTAACTCAAAAGCACTTCTGGTAGTCACATGGAAGTTTGATCTTCTGCCACTTTTGGTGAGTCAATCAAAGCAAAGTCAAGCACAAAGTAACCAAAGAAGAAAACAAGAAACTACAGAAAGTCTTAGAAACCCACATGAAATCTACATCAAAGACAGAAGAAAATGAATAAAAACAGAACAAATCTGGAGAGGAAAACCCCAGTTAGTGAGAAGGTTTCTGGTTATGAAGCAATGGAGATTGGAAAAGAAGCTTCAGGTTACTGTTCCATCTGCAGTCCTCACCTGTTCTCACCTGTTGACCCTGAA